TGTACACATTGTCATCGGCGACAATATATACGTTTATACCCTCACTGCACATATTGTCCTCTATCGGTACATATTATCGCCGGCTAAAAAGTTACACAGGTACATATTGTTGCCGACGATATTATGTGCCTACCCTCTCTGTACATGTTGTCGCCAACAGTTAGGATTGCTTAAGGATTTTTTGTCCCCGCTTTCGTCTGTCTGTCAATCTGTCGGTCTTTCAGTCTGTCTGTCAAAAAAACTTTAACCTTGGCCAATAACTTTTGAATGTGAAGAGATAGAGCTTTCAGATTTCACATGTACATTAACTGTGACAAGTCTGCTCCAAATATACTTTGTTTTTGACCCTGTGACCTTGACCTTGAAATTTGACCTACTTTTTAAAAAAATTAACTTTATATTAAATTGGTCATAACTTTTGAATAAGGAAAATATAGAGCTTTTATATTACACATGTATATTACTTCTGACAAGTCCTTTCCAAATTGACTATGATTTTTGACCTTGTTACCTTGAACTTGAAGTTTGACCTACTTTTCAAAAATTTTATCGTTTCTTATTTCTTATTACTTTTGATTGAGAAAAGATTAGACTTTCATGTTTGACATTGTATTACCTGTGACAAGATGTTTCCGAGCATGCTATGATATTTGACCCCTTGACCTTGACCTTCATGTTTGTACTAACTTGAGAAAAATTAACTTTGGTTATTACTTTTGAATGACATATGATAGGGCGTTCATATTGGACAAGTGCATTTCCTGTGTCAAAATGCTTCCGAATGATATTTAACCCGTTGATCTTGACCTTCAAGATTGACCTAATTTTCAAACATTTTATCAGTGTTACTAACTTTTGAAGGAGCGAAGATAGGGCATTCATATTTGAAACGTATATTACCTGTGACAAGTATTTTGATCTAATTTTCAAAAAAATTAAACATTGCTGTTAACTTTTGATCGACAGAAGATATTGCATTTACATTTGACATGTGCATTACCTGTTTCAAGACAATTCCGATTTTATACTCTGTTTTTGATATTTTTTCACATGTGCATTAATTGTGGCAAGACCTTTCGGATTGTATTATGATATTTGATCTCATGATCTTGATCTTGAATTTTTATGTAGTTTTGAGAAGCCATAATCTTTGCCATAACTGTCATTAATTCAATAATTTATGTCTTTTTTTGTATGATGCACAAACAAGACAGTACACACAAACAAGAGAATAAAAATATGCCATAATTAATGGCATCCCATCCATTAAGACACCGAAAGCGGGGGACCACAATTCTTTGAATTTGCTTGTTTTGTACTTTTGTGCATGTAATTGGTGTGTAAATCACATAGATATGTCTATTTCATGCAGCGCGATTGTGGCAGTACAGGACATATTGTCGCCGGGGACATTGTGTACTCCCCTAACTGGACACATTGTCGTCCGTATATATTGTTTCAAGCTGCTAAATTGTGCCTGTACATATGTCGCTGGCAACAATATTTGCATACCCTTAATGCACATTTCATGGTAAAGATGATAATGATGATAATAGTTTAAGAGGCTAGGTGGCAATTGCAGACAAATTGTACATACAAGTACATATATCGTTTATTTGAAATACGTATTTATAGCATTTGCCGTTGCCCGCGTGGCGCAGTAGTTAGAGCGTCTGCTCTAGAGTCGCGGAGTACGGAGTTGATCCTTGCGTCGCGGGCGCGAATCCCACTGTGGGACATTGAGACCGGTCCTTAGGATTAGACCGTACAAACCGAGATCCTGTGTCGCTGTAATTGCTGGCACGAAAAAGATCTATCACTGCGCAATGTCCCTGAGTGCCGAGTATAGGTCAAAATTTGCAGCTTTCCACCGGCAAGTGGTGGCGTGTCCATATGAGTGAAACGTTCTCGAGAGGGACGTTAAACAATAATAAACAGACAAACAAAGCATTTGCCTCCTGAGTTAACTTAACTCTTAAAGATACACTGATATCCAGTGTACTTTAAGGTTTAACCAGTTTCATTTATCTTCTAATGCATGTTTATAGAGAAGACTTTTAAAAAATGTCGACCTTAACACAGTTATAACACCCTCCCGACCATTTGCTACACATTATAGCTCGGGCTCAAGATTTAATGACAGCGGTTGCTAAGCAAACGGAAACAACGGAGCGTATGTCATGAAAGCCTTTTTGGATTATTCGTTAAACTTAAATGTTCTTTTAATTTTTTTTTAATTTCAAAAATGTTAAATATGATATAATACATTGCTTTTCGGGTGTCTTAACACTCAAGGGTTTTCCTGTCACCTTGGGGTAAATATTCGGGTATGTCACCCTGTGACGGTACATATTGTTGTTCTGTACATAATGTCGTCGGCGACTATATGTACCTTCCCTTACTGCACATATTGTCGTCCATCGGTACATATTGTCGCCGCCTGAAAAGTTACACATGTACATATTGTAGCCGACGACATTATGTGCCCACCCTCACTGCACATATTGTCACCCTAATGTTAAAGTTGTATGAAGACTTTTATGTACTTTTGTGAATGTAATTGGTATGTAAATCACACAGTCGTGTCTCTTCGGCTATTTCATGCAGCACACTTGTGACGGTACAAATTGTTGTCCTATACATATTGTCGCAATTGTGAACCGTTCACGGTAGCTCAGTCGGTAGAGCGTTCGCTCCGCGATCGGGAGGTCGTGAGTTCGAATCTCGGCCGCGACAGACCCAAGTCGATAAAAAATAGGTAGCAACTGTTCCTTCGCCATGCGCTCGTCACTTTGAAGTGAAAGTTGCGGGTCCTTCGGATGAGACCTTAAAAACCGAGGCCCCGTGTCACGGCAGGCGTTGGCACGATAAAGATCCCTCACTGCTCAATGGCACTGAGTGCCGAGTGTCAAAATTTGAAGCCCTTCACCGGTATAAGGTGACGTCCCCTTATGAGTGAAAAATTCTCGAATGGGACGTAAAACAACATACAATCAATCAATTGTCGCAATTGTATACCTCCCATAACTGCACATATTGTCGTCCGTCGGTATATGTTGTCGCAGGATGTACATATTGTCACCGGTGACAAGATTTACGTACTCTTACTGCACATATTGAGATAATAATGACGATGATGATAATGATAAAAGTTAAGGAGGCTAGCTTGCTCAAATTGTACATATACAGATATCTTTATCCGAATTGCAGCCTTATATATAATTTAACTCAAAAAAGTATCCAGTGCACTAACAGTTTTGACCAATTTCATATAACTTCTATAGAAGCAGGTTTAATGAGAAGATTTTTAAAACAAGAGACTCATGGGCTACAACGCTCACCTGAGACTCTTTGGCCCTGCTGTTTTGCTAAAAGTTTGTTTCCCAATATACATGTATTCGTATGTAAAATACGAACAAACAAATAAATAAAATAATGAACAGAAATGAATCTACTCTATTAGAAGATGCTTCCACTTTAATATGATTCATCATGGCTTTGCTGTTCTTAAGAAGAGGGTCGTCATGGTAGCTCAGTCGGTGAGCGCTCTCTCCGTGATCGGAAGGTCGTGTGTTCGAATCACGGCCGTAACTGACGTTAGTCGATAAAAATAGGTAACAACTGTTCCTTCGCCAAGCGCTCAGCACTTTAAAGTGAAAGTTGCGGGTCTTTCGGATGAGACCTTAAAAACCGAGGCCCCGTGTCACGGTAGGCGCTGGCACGATAAAGAATCCTCACTGCTCAATGGCCCTGAGTGCCGAGTACAGGTCTTTAAGCCCTTCACCTGTATATAGTGACCTCTCTATATGCTCTATACGAACAGGACGTAAAATAACATACAATCAATCAATCAAACAAAGAAGAGGAGTTTTAAGATGTTTTTCTATGTTATCCCTATTGTGGCCCAACCAACCATATTCCTGAGGACCATGTTCTGATCAATTTATAACCTAGACTACCTTAGTTAGCTTCCCAAGTGTCAGCTTTTCTGGTCCAGTTGTTCTCAAAAAGAAGGTTTTAAAGAGTTTTCTTTATTAATATATATTTCAATGTAAAACTTTGATTCCCTTTTGTGGCCCAACCTACCCCCCGGACTCTTGATCTGAACAACTAACCACAGTACCTTAGGAAGCTCCCACATAACTTTCAGCTTTTCTAGCCCAGTGGTTTTTGAGAAGAATTTATAAAAAGATTTTTGGACATATTTCAGTGTAAAACTTTCATCCCCTATTGTGGACCCACCCTAATTCTTGGTGTCATGATCTGGACAATTTGCAGTCAACACTACCTCAGAAAGCTTCATTCTAAATTTCATCTTTTCTGGTCCAGCTCTTTTTGAAAAGGAGGTTTTAAAATATTTTCCTTATATATTTCAACTTAACTTCCCTTTCCCAGCAGGCACACAACATTGAAAACAACTTTGAAACAACGTTGATTATACATGTTGATTCAACGTTTAGTTTATGTAAGATTTTGAAAATTGAGATCAACGTTGAAATCTTAACGTTGATTCAATGTTGAAAATCAAAGTTGATAAGACATTAAATAAAAGTTAATTCAACGTTTTTTTTCGGGGGGTGGGGGTGAGGTGGGGGTGGGTAGGTGGTTGATTACTTATTTCAAATTTCAATTTTTTATTAACTAAGATGCCTTCATAATTATATAAAGGAAAACATATATAAATCTTTACTGTAAACATTTAATTAACTTCCTATCAATAGATTAGTTACAATAAATTTCACAAAAATACATTTTATAAATTACATGTAATCAGTACAAAACAGAAACATTTTACATACGTTTTCTATTTTCACATGTAGTCAAGAAATAGTTCAATACAAGAAAACATTCCAAGATAAGATGTATATCTTATACTGTAACCATTAACCATTTCGATGCCCCAGATGCGCATTTCGACAAATTATGTCTCTTCAGTGATGCTCATGCCAAAATGTCGGAAATCCTAAATCCGATAAATATTTCTTTTAAAAAATACATTTTTAATTAAATCTTGGTGTTAGAGTCCTGGTGTCGGAATCCCGAGGGTGGTGTTGGTCTTCGTGGGTGCTGTTGGACTCCTGGGGTGCTGTTGATCTCCTGATTAGTGTTCTCTCCTGGATTATGTTGGTCTTCTGAGTGGATAGATTGGTGCAGTGTTTTAGTTGATTACCCCTACAATGTACAATTTGATATAATAAATATTTGTACAATGAAATATGTTAAAATTGTGTTCAATCTCATAATCTTTTTATTCCAAAATTGTCTATCAGTGAAAATTGACGAACACTTTAATAAACAATTAATATCTTTCGCTTTTTTCAAATTATGAATAATCAACCCAAAGACAAATATAATTATTAAAAATGGATTATTAAATAAATACATATATGCAAAAATTAGTTAATTTCTTGGCATTGCAAATGATATTTATTAATAAAACTTTAAAATGCAAATGTTTAAAGTGTAACGAGAATGGTTAATGCACTGTAGAATTTGATTTCTATCTGTTAACATTCATCAGCTGCTTAATTTGCTGGAGGCTGTGAGGTGCTGGAATGTCCTTCATTTACAAGGTACATCTATATCATTATTTGGCCGTGAGATTAAATCTATTTTTGCATGACATATCTTCCATCTCTATATAAGCCATGCCTACTGTTCACAAAACACAAAATAAAATGAAGTATATTGAAAGTGTAACAGGAAAGTAAAGAAAAAAATTATTAAAAGTTTGTGTCCCATCAAAGCAAAAGACTTAACATGAATTTCTCAACCTAAACTTGTGCAGCAGTTCAATATTTCATAAAACAATTATTTACAAGTAAAATTCAAATCCAAGACATGAAAACAAAATCATTCAAAGAGGAAATTACTTTTAAAATTATCATATACTCATCAAATAAAAAAAAGAGGGAAAGGGATATACTGGAAAACAGACGGGGAATTCCTGAATGCACCCCCCCCCCCCCAGTAAAGCTATACAAAGACAGATCCATAAGAATCTGAAAATAAACTTCAGGATTCATTAAGATATTACAGACGTGAGAATGGGATGTAAACGGGACTCGGTGTGCCGTGAAAACTGCCCAAAAGCCTTCGTTGGAGATGGTAGACTTCCTCTTTCAACATGTTCAAGTGGCCACCCCCCTCTTTTTTTTGTTACAAAATCTTTGATCCGTTTATGCTATATATCCTAACACTTAACATACACAAGATGTAATATTCTGAAACTATGGAGATCAATCAACTAAACTACAATTGAATAGTCTTCAATGTGGTCTTCATGCATTCTTTAAAAAATATTGAACTGAAATTGGCGTCAGTTGGAATTCGAAAGCATCCATTATCACGAGCAATTAAGATAGATAACAAATCGAGTTATATTTTTGAAATCTTAAAACAGCTGTATATATATAAAATCTTAAAATTATCAAAACTTACCAATAACTGTTATCCTCATAATCCTGTCTTTTTGAATATTTTCCGGATGTCCTACTGCGCATGCTCTTAATTCGTACTTTAGCAAATTCGTACTGAATTCATATTAATCACTGAATTCGTAAAATTCATATATTTACCATTCTTGTTTGTTGTAACAGTTATTAGTGATATACGCTAGTGCGACTTTGTCAAGACCGACCTCGGTATGGTCCAGCAATGTTATAGTCCGACATTATTACAGTCCGAATTATTTATCAGAGAAAAATAGGATTCCCGCTCGACGAAGATCCGACGTTGAATCAATATTGGCAATTCAACTCAATTTGAATTCAATATTGAATCAACGTTACATTTTCAACATTGAAAAGTCAACGTTGAATCAATATTGAATCTAGATTTATCTACGTCCTAACCCATTTTCAACTAATATTCAACGTTTAAACAACGTTGTGTGCCTGCTGGGTATGGTGCCCACACCCTTCTCCCGGGGACCATGGTCTGAATAACATTAGAATCAATTCTACCTCATGAAGCTTTCTTCTCAATATCATCTTATCTGGTCCAGTGGTTCTTGAGAAGAACATTTCAAAAGATTGTTCCCATATATTTCAATGGTTAACTTTGATTCCCTAGTTTGGCCCCACCCTACCCACGGGGCCATGATTTGAACAATTTACCATCTACACTCCCGAAGATAGCTTCCATATAAGTTTCAGTTTTTCTGGCCCAGTGGTTCTTGAGAAGATTTTTTCAAGACTCTACCGTATTTTTGCCTTTTCTTCATCATTCCCACTTGGAAAGGGGGGATGGCCCTTTCATTCTAATATTTAGGATCTTAGGATCTTGGGGGTGCTTTGTATCAACTTTGATGAAGATTTGCTTAACTGTAAATTTGTCGTCTATTATGCAGGAGAAAAATAGCCAGCGACAGTATGTACCGACGGACGACAATGTGTGCAATGAGGGTATGTACATATTGTAGTATTTACAAAACGACAAAATGTACATTCACACATCCTCGAACGCGTGTGATATATGTATAATATCAGCGACAAAATGTGTAAATATTCGCAGTACATATTGCCGCCAACTACAGTATGTACCGATGCATGACTAGTACTGTACCATTATTTCATTTTGCAGGATGAAAAAGGCTTTTCTCGGCAGATATTGTGGCCGGCGACAATATGTGCAGATGAGCGACAATATGTGCAGTGAGTGTAGGTACATTTTGACGCCAACGATAATATGTACCAATGTGTACAGAATGACAATATGTCAAAAATCCTCTTCTTGCACTCCGCAGTAAATTCAGATTCTCAGATTCCCATGGGTGATTTTGTCTCTTCGCCCTTCTCTTACTTAGATGAATACAAAAATGCAAAGTAAATTTTTATCCTATACTTCCATTGAGTCATTTAAAAATCATTTAACTACATTAAACCCATTGATAAAAACATTTAAAGAATTAGTAACTAACCAAAACAGTAACGTTCTGGACATGACTCGAGATTTGTCAGGCAATATGCAGTATATCGACCACAATTCCTCACTTTAATGTCATACATTTTGCTGCAGCAACTTTCAAACCCTCGTTTACAAGCTCTTCTTTGTACTACGCCATCGCTATGTTAAGGATGGGAACCTCAAAAGAGAAAAAAAACCCAATATGTTTAAAATAAACTTTACTGCTAGAAAGAAAAAGATTCAATTCATAAAATTGGTATTTTCATGCAAACCATTCATCCAAACTGGGAACATTGTTCCGCAACTTAATAGACTAGGGCATTTATTAAGCATTGGAATAGAGGATTTGAACCATCCAGGAGTAAGAAATTTATCACACAGAGCAATATTTTGATTGTATTCACAGTTCATGCTTCGCTCTTTGGGATCACTTAGATCATGAACATGCCCAACGATACATGGGTCTGAAAAAGAAAATGCATCGTCAATTTTCAAACTACTTACTTTTTCAGGGACTCATATTAGCAAAATCAACTTCAAAGAGTTGGTAAATAATTATGCTGATATCATTTAAAGGATATTTTCATAGTTTTACTATTATGAAAGATCGTGAATTCCACATATAAAGTAGCCAAGAGAGATTAAAGATTTTTTAGCAAATAAGAATCAAAATAGCATATGATTTTTAATACAATGTTTTCTTTTTTTCTTTTGAAGAATTTATTCTTGGGTAAAAATTCTTCGATTGGCTTTCTCAAAAAAAAGAACAAAATTTCAGTCAAAGAACAAAAAATGATTCGCACCAAAAACTAATGGTACATGTATTCATTTTTCTGCATATGAATATATCAAAACTATTGATAAATGAAACAGAGCATGAGATTCCATTCAATATAAATAATGGTTTTGATAATCCTTTGAATGACGACTTTCTTTGCCTATTAGTTGCGACATACACTGTACCTTGTGAGCAAGGATGTTCTGATGGTGGAATCTGAGAGGAAAATGGTCGTCTAATTGTTGTTAATGGATTTATTGTTATTTCCGTTGATGTAGTTGATTGTGGAACGTCACAAGAACCATTTTCTCCTAAATTGTTTGAAATATAAACTAAATGTGCATCCTTAAAGGTTTTTTTTTTTCAATGGGTTGACGAACCTTAGGTATTGTGAGATATATACGACGGTCGTATGTTTTTACATGTTCATGATTTTTATGGTACTGCTAGAAAAAACATACACGATCAGTATGTACTGATCCCAACTGAAAAAGCAGGTACAGCATAGTCTTTGTTTGTAAGGCTCATTATTTTAATTGTATTTTAGAGGAACTGCAATTTAATTCTGCAGGTGGAAATCCAACTTACATCCATTGCTTCCTTTCTAAGTAGGAAATTCATCAAAATTATATGTCAGTTTTGAATATTTTTAAAATTGCCAACAATCAAACTGAATTTGAATTGCCATACCTATATGGGATTCCTAAATTACTTAAAAATGCCCACAAACAAAGATACATAGCGGGTTTCAGTAAATGTTCTACAAAGCCTTTTTCTTTACTCCTCACTAAAATACTAACAGTAGTGAAGGAGAAACTTCAGGAGTACTGTACAACAGTATATATTCGAGAAGTGGTGTAAATCAGATGTGGATACTTAAAAACTCCAAGGAACTTTTAGAAAATTTGAAATCACAGTTGTACCAAAATAAATAACTTCACAATGTACGATTTTTCAACAATTTTTACAACCATTTCCCACGATGAAAAATATAATCCAGGTTTTCTGACATCGAAGAAAGCTGCTTTTTCAATAAAAATGGAACTCGTAAATTATTTACTTTTGTCATGGGTCATTGGTCATTTACAAAATTATTTTGTTAACTTCATTCTGATTGTACACACAAGTACTCTGAAGTAGACATTAAAAAGATGCTTGAGTTTCTGATTGAAAATATCTATGTATTTTTGGGGATCAGGTCTTTTAACAACCTGTCGGAATTTCCATGGGTACTAATTGCGCCCGTTATTAGTAGACCTATTTCTATATTCATATGAAGCAGAGTTTATTCAAAAACTTATATATAAGAAGAAGACACTTGCTGTGGCTTTCAACTCGACATTTAGATATATCGACGACGTATTATCAATTAACAATTGTTACTTCCATTCATACTGTATGTCGACGATATATCACAGTGAACTTGATATAAAGGATACCATAGAGTCTGACACATCTGTTTCATATTTATATATTTTTCTAGAAAAATACGTTAATGGTAACCTTACAACAAAATTTTCTGATAAACCTGATGACTTCAACTTTTCCATGGTCAACTTCCCTTATTTTCTTAGCAATAAACCCTTTTCACCTGCATATGGGGTTTATATCTCCCAGTTGATTCGATAAGCAAGAGCATGCTCTACGTTCAAACGATTTCTAAAACGAAACAAACCACTGACAAACAAGTTGATGAAACAAGGATATCAATAGTCTCATTTGGAGCCGTCATTTTGCTTTTCTATGGTCGATATAATGATCTTGTCAGCAAATACAATATATCATTAAGTCGAATGCTGACTTAAGTTTTTTCATACTAATTGTTAGGCCATTATTTAAACACTGAATTGTCTACGCATTTTTCCGCTTGCACTGTCTGACATGACAATGAGCACACGGCGAGTGTGATCGGTCGACAGGGGATGTTTATTCCTCCATGGCACCTTATACCACCTCCGATGTTTTTTAGAGGTTCGTGTTTGCTCTGCTCCAAATTTGAATTGTTTCAATGGACTATTGATATGGATTACTATTTGCTGTCTTCGTATTTCATTACATAGGTGTTTATTTAAAGACTACTAATATTATGGGAATATCTCTATGAATACCAGTAGCAATACGTCTCGTATTACCAGTACGATTCAAGGCATATTAAATATTATTTTAATAAATGACAGTTTAAGAAAAATAAATTTACCCAAAAATACAAAAAGAAAAAGATAAAACCGTAAGTAAGCCTGTTATAAGCTAAAAGTGCTTACTAACTTACCAAAGCAATAGCGTTCGGAACATGCACTCATTGCACCCAAGCAGTAGGCATAGAATAATCCACAGTGTTTTATTTTAACATCAACTTCCTCTCTACAGCAGTCATTAAAACCCACTTTACATGCCTTTCGTCCAACTACTCCATCAGAAATCAATGGCAGAGACCCTGAATTACAATAGAAAATTTTCAAAATTAAGGGGATGTTCTTACCACTATACTAAATTAAAATCTTTAAAAGGAGAAACATCGTTTTATGCGCCGAAAAAATTAAATTACCCCTAAGCCATACAGGATAAAGTGCTCCACAGCTCAGCAATTCTGGACATTCCGTCAACATCTTGTCGTCTACCCGGTACCACTGTGGTGTTATGTAACGGTCACATAATCCATACTTTGGGTCATACTGACAGTTCTTGTATCTTGCATGCGGTTCAAAGAAACGGGACACATTGGCCTGGGTGCAAGGGTCTTATGTATTTATTATAAAAGAAAAATGGATAAAATAAACGTTAATAGATGATTTTAAATGACAAATCGGAGTCAAGAGGGGTAAACTGTGTATTTTTTTTCTCTCTCTCTAAATAAATGACGATACCGTTCAATGTATTTTTTCTTCATTCTAAACAATGTCAAACTCTTACATTTTCAATGTTACAATCACAATAATTATTTCTGTGAATGACACCCTTTAATGCAAACAAATCTTTTCCTGTAACTGATGAGTTCTTAATGATAATGCAATACTGGTATAAGAATAACATTGAAATCAAGTGTTCACTCTGTCGAACCTCAATAGAATAATTTAGTAAACGTCATTATGAATCTTTATGATTTGCCAATGTTTATGACATAATTGAAAACCAAAAAATAAAAAAAAAAATTAAAAAAAAAATAAAAATAAAAAAATAAATAAATAAATAAAAATAAATTATCGATTTATTTCCAAGGTTTGTTTCTCAATACATATTTCAGTTATGGCTATAAAATAGAGAGAAAAAAAGAGCAATGACAAAATAAGAAATAAAATAAATTAATAAATTGATAAAAAATAACAAACATAGTTCAAGATGGAAGACAGGGGCCATTTGTTGTCTTTGTTAACTTCCGTTAAATCAACAACAATAAATTATAATTCACTTATGTTTTTTTTTATGGGTGATCAAAACTTAAACAATATAATTTATAAGCACATTTGTCCAAATATTGTGATAATTCTGCATTTATTTTATAAATCTTGTAAATTTAACAAACTTCAAATTTTTCTGTAAAGTGAATGGGAATGCTTACCTGCGACGTTACAGTGATACTGGGCATCTACAAGCATAACATATGAAAACTGCACTGGCATGAATATATATAATTAAATGTAACAGAACGTCAATTCAAACTCTAGCGGTTTCAATAATATTATCTGAAGTTTTGACATACTGGTATAGATACAAGCATTTCAAAGTAAATTGTGATGTCGTGTAACATTAAATAAGTGTTGACCTTTATCAAAGTTCATTATAATGTCATTATATTACAATTTTAAATTAACATTATGTACTACTAGTGCGGGAAAAGCGTAAAATGTCCATCATAATAACGCATTAAGCATTAGTTGAGACAATGAAAATGCTTTTTCTTGCATTGTGAGTTTCGCTGTGAGCGTTCTCATTTTTTTTTTCTCTCTCTCTGGCTATATCTGAAATTTTATGATTGAGAAAGGTTTGATTACAAATTTTCATAATTTTTTATTATTAATTTCATGATATTCATTCTATGGTTTTATTTATCATCCAAGAACTAGACACATGGAAAGAACTGTTTACCTCTTCAAGCGAGAGTTATTCCAGCCGATAGGACATAAAGCATTTGTCATCGAACTTATGACTACATTACGACTGTTATCCAATAAAAGGCGAAATAATAAATAAATTGATAGAAAAATGCATATGAATAGAGTATATTCAATGTATTTTAGTTGGATATGGATTGTGTCACTTGTGGGACAGGTTTTTTTTTTTTTTTTTTTTTTTTTTAAATATTTTCAAGACTGCTAAGCAGTTCTGATATTCTTTCTCACTGACAGAATATCAGTTTGGTATCTTTTCACAATGTGACAGAATATCATATTTCTTTCTTTTAAGTCAATAGATAAACGATATTATTATATGACTGAATATTTCCTTTTTTCTCTGTTTGGTTGAGATCCAATAATGTAGAAAAAAATACTACGTTATATTCACCTGCATGTGACTTTCCAGGTGAATATAATGATTTATTTTCCTCCACATTGGACTAAAAATAGATTGAGAAATTCCAAATTGATACAAATAGTTTTGAAAAGTTATTTCACTTGCATCTGATGTCCACCCATATGAACATAACATTAAGGCACATAGATTCTTGGGTGAGGGGTGGGTGTGCGGGTGGGGAGGTTGCAGGAGGCCTGCCTCTAGCCTCTCCCCACCTTTTTTTGAGAATGTAAATTTTTGATTTAAAGTTTAAGGATAAAAATTTTCAATGAAAGCCCCACCCCCCTTCCCTCATTTACTGACCTTAACATCCCATCAAATAAAATTTAAAATTTAAAAATAAAATTTTGAGTTGGGAGAATTCTTTTCTTTTTGGAGAGAGGTAAGCTAGTCAAAGATTTGTTAACAGGTAAGTTGTTAATTATTTTCCTTATAATGCCCCCTTTTCAAAATCAATCCTTCATATGTGCATGACATTTATTTTTTCTACATTGCACCTAAAATAGAATTAAAAATTCCAAATAATACTACTGTTTATGCTTTGTTACCCCGTTTCTCTCATTATGTTTGATTAGTACTTCAGTAGATGTGAACAAGTACATGTAACATGGCTTGGATTACTTAATGAGTGTGCGTCATTTAATCATTGAATCATATAAAAAACAAGTATTGCTGTTTTTTCGGTCAATACGATGATTTAGCTACCATCGAAATACATTATTACCCTGGCCCTTCGGGTTCGGTGAATATTATACCCTTCAGGTCTAAATTATCGTATTTACCTAAAAAACCAGCAATAATTGCAGAGTACTTCACTGTTGAAAATGTAATAAAATGAGAGCTTTAAACCGAATATACCTGTTGCAATAACTAGGCATAAAATCTGTAACCATGGAATTTCTCTTCTATTCATCTAAACAGAGGATAGAATGAGATACATTTTACAATCAAGTATTTACCATATAATCAAATAATTCATGGCACATTTACAACACATCATTACAATAAAACACTTTTAACATATAATTTATTATTGCATCTTACCTTGCATAAATCCTTTCAGCAAGAGATATAAAAAGGATATATATTTAGCAAGCTCTTGGACATTTACTCCAGTACATTTTTACTTATACCTGCCTGTTTCGTGGAAACGATATCTAGTTTCTGCAAAACAGAATCGGGAAGTATTTATTGTTTTATGGCTAACTCTAATCGATTATTTACAGCAATTCGTTGACATGGCATCATAAATCTTACGTTTTTTATCGGACTTTCATATTTTTTGTGACTCATATACACATGTATTTTTGGATTAGGTTTTATGCAAATAGGGATTTTATTAACGGTAAGATATTTCTCATTTCGATTTCACTTTTTTCAAAATAAATAAGGGTATGAGGTGAGTTCAACATAACAGCTGTGGGAAAATTAAGTTGATTTTTGCTTGTTTGAAGACAGTTCTATATAATTTCAATATCAAGAAATAAAATCACCCAGGAATGTAGATCTTCATTGCTTAAAGGATCCATTTAAAAACATATCCACAATTGGCGTACAGATATTCTTTTTATGATATTCCAAAAAGGTAAAGTTTTTTATTGGTAAGGAAAAAATTGAACTGTTGTTGGTATTCAATGTAAAAATGCATTTTTGATTGGGTACCATTTCTTTTTATGTATTTGGTATAATTTGTTAATTTGCAAAAGGTGAGATATTGTTGATAAAGACATTCAATTTGGGATGTCATTTCAACGGTTTTTCATAAAAGAAAATTTAAAAACCTGGATAAACTTAATGCATATCAAATAATTTAATAATACATTTCCATTACTTTCAACGTGTGGATGGTTCACATGACTGTAAATAGTTATAGATTACAGAGACTTATAGATGTTGAGCGGTTTTAACTTCAAATTATATGCAGTTCATTCTCAAAAATAGACTAAATTTGTTTGTATAAAAGTATTGATTAAGAAATTATTTTGTCATATCTCTTTCAAAAGTGCAGTTATATAAATTTGAAACAATAAAACTGATTTCACTTTCAGATGAGTAAAACATCCTACATGATTTTGTTCGTTGTATTCATAGAAATAGAAGGTAAATCAAAATGATTCATAATTCTTTTTTTCTAGCATGGGAAATCATATTTTGTATTAGATATACATTGTATTAGACAAAATAATACCATTTCTTTTTATGAAAATTAAAAATCGTTGCATGAAAAATCCTTATGATTTATGATTGGGCCAAAATAAAAAAAATACCTTTGTTTCCCCTAACGCGACCGACCCAATTAAATCCCACCGACTGAAAAGTTTTTTTAAAAAGATTATTCAAATATTTTTTTTTATGTTTATCAACTTTTATAAAATACAATTTCATCAAAACCCGTTCTTATCAGAAATTCAGAATATATTTTCAAAGCTGCTGTCAGAAAAAAATAAATATTTACCTACCTACCTACCCAACTTCAGATTTTAGGGTCGGGTTAGGGGAAACAAAGATATTTTTAATGATGGCCTGGGCAAAAATCTTTTATATGATATTGTTGAGTACCTCTGTGATATTATGTGAATATTGACATTTATAACCACATTGTATATTCTTATTGCAGATGCTTCTCATCACTGTATCGATGGAGGTATTTAAAGATATAAACTGAATTTCATTGTTTATCTAATTCCTTAAAAGTCAAACATACTTTTTTATTAGTAAGCATACTAGTATTCAAATTCCATTTGTATCATCATATACAAATGTTTGATTGTAGATCCATGTTTTGTTGCAAAAGAAATGTACCAACCCTATGCCCGTGCAGAAGTATGTGTATTCAACTCTCAGCATGCACCCTGTGATAGATATCTGACGCCTGGATGGTACAAATCTGATGAACCATTATTGGATCGATGCCCCGATTTACTAAGATGTGGTGCAGTGTACCCAGTATGGTTAAATGGTACATATCTAAGGAATGTTAAGAAAGTTCATTCCATAATAAAATATGTTTGAAAATTTCTAAGTAGTGATGAACTGAAGAGATTAATTTTCTAGTCTGACAAAATCGCCAGAGTGTGCTTGCTATTTATAGCAATTAATTTCTAGAAGGAAATTACAGGATTATAAATATATATAAACATCTTTAAAATACCCAAATGGCAGAAGTCATGGTCGTTTTTTTTTGGTGAAAATGTAGGATTATTTACTTTTGTTTCTTCACAGCATATCTTGCATCATACAAAACTGATGAACTTAGGAAATAGAAAGATTAGTCACTTCTCAATAGAATAGATTTGTCATATCAGAGTTCTATACTAACTTGATAAATTTGCATAGGTATTTGAAAAGATATATTGACCTGTATGCTTAAGATATTTCACAAATATGCTGCATCCCTGATTTTTCTGCACAGAAATCATTTGTTTCAATACCTGCCCTCCCCTTTTTGTTTCAACAAAACAGTTAAACCCTTATCAGTAGCAAGAATGGACACTGTGAACATGAAATATCACAAATTTTAAATATATTCTCATTGTATTGCTTTCCGAAAATGAAGGGAAAATATGGAATGAACTTTCTTAACATCCTTTAGATACAAACATTCATGTCTATTTAGTTACTCAATCATATTCCACAGGATTCAAGATGGCTACGACTAACAATAAATACTGTAAACGTTGTCCTTTAATTGATAGTCAAACTTTTACATAACTGAATAAACTGATTAAAAAGACTAGTTAAAAGATGTCAATTGCAACATTTACAATGTTTTCTCCTCTCATACAGCTTCACTTCCCAATGCCACTGATGGAACAGTTTCACGAAAAACATGCCGAGTAGGATTTAACAACTGTTGTTCTAAGGAGTACGAAATAAAAATCAAACTTTGTGGATCGTTTTACGCTTTTTGTTTCCCATCTCTTGATTCCTGTTCGGAACGCTTTTGCTTTGGTAAGGGGTTTAGAATACATGTATTTTTTTGTTTTATGAGTTTGAGTTTAGTCATATGCTCATAGTGAAAAACGATATGTTCAACATTAATTAGGAAGTGTTTGTGATTTTGAGCTGCTTTGATATTCTCCAAAAGCATCAAGAAAATTAATTATAGGAAGAAATGGTTCCTGTGAATATCCGGATGTGAAACTACATCATCGGTTACAGATAGCAAGGAAACTAAAGAGGATATAATCAAAAGTAAAACAAAAGAACATTAATTATCTGCTTGCATTCTGTAAAATTAAAAAGTATATACATTTGTTTTGGTTTGAATACTTTATTGAAATCATTTGACTGTTATTCTGCCAATTTGCTTTGTTATTAACAGATTTGGAATCCAAATACATCGCTGTTATATGTGTTTTGTCCATTGTCTTAGTGTTAGTCTTGGGACTATCATTGATCCTGTATATTGCAAGGTAAATCAATTCAATAGATACCTTTACATTTTTCAAATACCTTTGAAAATTACATTGTGTTTATTTTTCTTGTGTTTTATGTAACAAATACATTATTTTTTTTTAGGAAAAAGAAACTTTCCAAAATGGTGTCACAAAGCATAGCACAATTAACAGAGACAAGAAAATAAAATATCAGGGTTCCAGTGACCACATTTTACAAAAGTACAATGCGCATAGACTCTCTCTGAGAGAGAGAGAGAGAGAGAGAGAGAGAGAGAGAGAGAGAGAGAGAGAGATCTCCGAACATTTTTATTTGTGTTTTAATTTTTGTTATATGTTGTTGATAAATAAACATCGGATACATTCAAACACTTTTTTCTACCTCTCTCATGTTTAGATGTTTTAGAAAAGTTTCATTCATTTCAATTTTACCTTGAGAATTTTAGAAATTTACATTTTACTTTTGAAGAAAATTGGCATCATCATCTTCTATGAAAAAGTGAAAAACAAAAGCTTTCACAAAACTTTGAATGAATATTTACTATTTTTAGTATATTAAATGCCATAATACTAAAAAAAAAAAAAAAAAAAAAAAAAAAAAAAAAAAAAAAAAAAAAAAAAAAAAAAGCTTGCAGAGAGATAAACTTTTATAAAAATTATTTGTTGATGATACATGAAAAGATAAAGATAACGAGCCATGACCAATCTCAAAAAATATATATAAACAATACAAATATGTGAAAAGGACATGAAACTCCGACCCCTGGAAATTCCAGAGGTGTGATCTGGTGCCTAGCAGGAGTAGGCATCCCCAGTTGACCGAAAACATTTCCTTATTTATTTTGTAATATGCAACTTTCACCTGTATATTGTGTTTACATCTCGCAACTAATTCGATACACACGAGCATGCTCAATCGATTCAAGTACGATCAATTTTACGATTTATTTTTTAAACAGATGTAAGCTACTGACAGATAAATTGATGTTACAGGGATTTCAACTACCTCGTTTAAAGTCATCATTTCGTAAATTCTATGGTCGTTGTCAGCTTGTTAGCAAATATAACCTGACATTGGGTCGTATGTTGAATGACGTGTTTCATACCTATTGTTAGGCCTTTATTTTTATATTGAATTTGACTACGGAATGTTCCGACTATCTGATCCATACATAGCGCGGGTATGTTAAGGCTAAACTCAGATATTCTACTTATCTAAAAATATGATGTCATAGTAAGCTATATGACGTGAACTTTAGAGATAACGATTTCTTAAAAATCTACATTTATAAATTGATTTGAGGTCCTAGAAATGAATGGAAACATACAGAAGCTTGATATAAATAAGACCTTGCTGTTTCTGGGTTGTATAGATAACTATGCATTTGTCACAGGATTTATTACCAAACCCATGAGTCATAACTGTCGATCAAAAGTTAAAGAGTAAAAATGACACGTAACGAGAATTCATGTAAACAAACATATGAAATAGGATTTCAAAAGCATTTAACGTGAATATCATGTGTGATTCATGCGGAATTAAAGCTTATGAATAAGGAACGCTGATTTATTTTTGCAACTTCTTCGTATAATGAAGGCAGACAGTATTTTTACATCCCAATCTATCTTTCCTCTGTCGTTCGTAACAGCAAAAATGCAAAAGTTCAACACTACGACGCATACTTTGAAACATAATTTTTGTTTTTATCGAAAGCTCTTATTCTATAGTTCTTGGAAAGTGCAGCTAGAATCGCGTGGGTAACGGAAATTGATGATTTTTTTTCGATCTTGTGTACAAAATGTAAAAATTTTGAGAGTGTGGAATAATTATTTCTTTGATAGGAGTATAGGATTCTAGCAGCCCTTTTCATAGTCCAGAGATAACTTTAAATAACTATTCTTACAAATAGAAATTGATTATCCCTGGGGTAGTCTTGAACTTTTAACTTTTTCATTAAGACATCTTTTTTCTATTTATAGACGTCACATGATGACGTCGTGGTGGAGTGCTTCGTTTAGTCTAAGACACATTGAAGTCTGAATAATGGATAATAATAGTAAATGTTTTACCATGACTTTTCCAATTTAATAAATTCACGATACGATAGGTATTAAGATATTCAGTACACGATACAAAACATATTACGGTGACTGACATTTATTATAAATGTTAGAAAACAAGTCCTGCAGGTTTGTTATTATAAAATGTTTCGTGAAAGAGACAGGAATATATCGAAAAAATTGAAAATAAAAATAAAAATTTGTCAACTTGGTCTGGATTAAGAGCAGATCTTTGAATTTTGACAATATTTCCTATACATAAAAAAAGAAAGTCACCGAAATACACATAGACATGGCATATGTTTTACTATTGAATACTTCCAGATCAAAAGACTTTATCACTTGTAGTAACATCTATACCATTTAATCACATTAGGAAAGAGATCACATCATTCACCCTGTAAAATCTAAATTTGTGAGATGCTTGAAGTGAGTTTAACTGAGTTATTGTCGACCTTATGTTTTTTGCAGACGCTATTTGGAAATCGTAAACAAGGAACCAAATCAGACGATTCAGGTTATTCTGATTAGAGATTAAATTAGTTTAACGTGTAGTTAATTTAACCGTGTAACATGTCAAGTGATTTATTATTGCTCTCTAACTACAGTTAATATTGTCAATAAAAACTCAAACATCTTTCTAATATCATACTCAGAGTACATGTGTGTTGAATCAGAATGTTTTGACATAAGTTTGCAGAAGACCAATGAAACTGTTTTTAAAAATACGTGTTCAGTTTTCTTTTTCAAAGAGACACTTGTCTAAAATGTCCAAAATCTCTAGTGTCCCAAGGAATGACGGCAACATTTTTGAAAAGTCGAACGTTATGTAAAATTTCTGTTGTCTGAAAGTTTTCTAAAAGTTCCTTAGAGTTTTTATGTATTGAGATGTCATTAACGGCACTTCTTGAATATTTTGAACAGTTCTTCTGAAGATCCTTCCTCACTTTTGTAAATATTTTCTTTGGAGAAAACAAAGAGGCTTGGTTCAATGATGTTCGACCTTACTGTGGTACAAAATTCATCAACCGATTTGGTCCAGGAATCAAGAATATTTTGAAATATTGGCGAGAACGCACAAACATCACTTCCCAAAACGTGCGTCTTTTTTGCCGTAACATTTTGTACATTGAAATATGAAGATAACGAAAAATGATAATGCTCGAAGCTGTTGGGGAGGGTGCCATAATCATTTCACCTCATTTCAAACTACGTGTAAAATATTTATGTGTTTGTTCTCTAATGCATGATTGTTTTTGTATAAATTTAGAAATAGAGCGGAAAATATCCGCAATGTCTCTGTAAGGTGAACTTCTCATGAAATATTTTGTACTTTAATGGGACTATGACTTTTTTCCAAGCACATTTATGATACACACGGATACGATGAGTTAAGGTATACAACAAAACGTAAATAACACTTGTGTAAATGAGCCAAAGGGATTTATGTAAAACACTTGAAAAATATAAAGGACCGTCAAGTGGTTAGCGAGGTCATGTGATATCATACCAAATATGCTAACATATAGCCAAGAGGACCGTTTGGCTATATAAATTGGCTGTATGTTAAGTATAAATCTTACAAAAATTAAATCAAATCCGATTTTGCAATGCAATATTATTTTATGAACGCATTTTATAGCTTGAAAAGCCTTAATTTAGCTGACACTTTGATTTACTATGAAACTTAGTACAGATCTTTTCTAAGAGATTTTGAAGCTTCCTGAATCGGAAGAATATTAGCTTCCTAGACCATGATTTATAATCCATTTCTGTGAAAGATTAGGCAAAAATATATATCTGAAACCACCTTAAGAAATCTCCAATTCCTTTCAAAGGTTTCGGTTTCATGAAGGATGTAAGACCTTTAAAGGGAAACTCAAGTGGTTCGTAAATGTGACATATAAAATTTATATCTGCCTTTACGTAAGTGGTTAAACTATATAACATGGTTAGGAAAGGGGCTATAGCTTTCTAGAAAAGAGGGAAATACCAAGAGAGAAAGACTTTTTATTCCATCCAAGGGATTCACATCGAAAGACGTGTTGTCAGTTTTAGGTTGTTTTTTTTTTTACATAAAATGGCCCGCAACCAGGGCTATTATAATTATTTGGCTCGCTTTGTGACCCTAATGATAACACGTAAGTAATCTACTCTAGAAATCTTTCAAAAATGGTCGGATTGTTACCATCTAGATTTTTTCAAATTTTTAGTTAAGTAAAAATTAACAAGTTTCCTTGGAAAAAAGGCATGCTTATAATAAATTTTAACGTACGTTCATCTAGATCATTTACCACTTTTATAAAAACAGATTTTTCAGTTGCACTTCCGGCTGATCCATGCCAAGATGGCAACCATAATATTCTTTCGGATTTACCAAAACGAAATCCTAGTTTTGCACAGGACTCCGTTCCAATATGTGATCGTTACTTGATGGAAGGTTGGTACAGAGCACCATATCATGAAATGGTAACTACAGAACCTAGCATAGGCTATTGTGGAACTCTTTATCCGTATTGGCTTAAGGGTGAGTCTGCATATTAAACAAATATTTAACTATGGACGTATATTGTTGTTGGAGAATTGAAATGAATTTGCTTCATTCAGTATCGTTCTTTTTTTATTAATTAGAAAAAAAAGTTGGTAATGTGTAAAAGAGATTCGTTTTATATTCCTTAATTTTTACCTTTAGAAGGTTCAAATCAACTTCTTTTTATAAAATAAAAATTGTTTAGAGTTTTATGACGTTTGTTTTTCTGGTTTTTTCAGTCGTCTGTACAAACCTAAACTATAGATCTTTGGATAACCGAAATTCTGAGTTTTTGAAAGGTTGTTGAAGCCCACTGCAAGAAGAAATAAACAAGAAAAAATGAATACAAATTGTTGTCACTTAAACTTTTAAAGAAACACTGAACCATAAGATGAAATTAGAAAAAACATAAGATTCCGGTTTGTTAATAATATGGGGATAGCGTAGGGCTACAATATTGGGCTAATTTTTCCTATAAGAATATATATATATTGCTTTCTTTTCTTTTCAATTTTTTTTTTAAAGAGCAGCATGGCCACAGTCGATGTTTAGAAATGCGTGGATTCCCATCTGGAGTACATAGCTTTTTCTAAATAAGTGTTAGAATAAGACCAAAATATGCTTTTTTTTGTTTTTGTTTTTTGTTTTTGCTTAAAAACACTATTTGAGAAACGTTTATCTAACACTGATTAGATGCTGTTGATATCAAAACCTATCATTTAATGTGAAGTTATTAACGGTTAACCTAATCTTACAATGACCGTTGATTCTTGCAGGAAAAAAAAATTACCTTAGCATTACCTGTCCAAATATTTTAGGACACATATGGAAACATTTGAAATAAGGTTTTACTTTGAAACATATATTAGGATGAAGTAACCTGCATATGGTGATTATGTTTCCAAACTAAGTCGATACTCAAGGGCGTACCTGAGTTCGAACAATTTTTAAAGCGATGGGGTCTAGGGTGATGATAAAGGCAATTCAACAACCTCCTTTACACTACTGTAATGAATTTCCCCTTAGATTCCCCCCAAATCCCCTGACGTTCCCCTGTCAGTCCCTGACATTTTCTTGTCTCCTCCTGACATTCAATTCGACCCAGAAAAGGGTTAAAATATGTTCTTGTTGCTATTCATTTCTGAGAAAACATGTACCTCACTTTCAACAATTTTCAAGTTTTGTGAAAATATAGATTTAATCATTAGTTTTTTTTTTTTTTTTGTTTGAAATATCTTTAGTAAATTCTTTGAAAATATGATTGTATTGATTGTTTGGTAGCTTTTCAGATAAATCTTAAGGAGAATAAATGCCAGTTACTTTGAAAAGAATGTATTACTATTTTATCGCGTCTTGTGTAGCTTGAATGGCATGTAAATTTAGTTTAATTAATTAATTTAACTATTTCTTTTTATTTATTTATTTGTTTTATTTAATTTCTTCATGTATCTGTTTATTTATTTTTCCCCCCATTTTTTGTCTCTTTGTTGATCTATTTATTTGTTTTTTGAATTTAATTATTCATTTTGTTTATTTAATGGCACCATGGCACCTTATCCAACCTCTGATGTCTTGGTGGTCCGTGTTCCCTATTTTGTAATGTTTAATGGATTTTTGAGCTCGAATGCTGCTCGTTATCTCCAAATAATTCATTAATCTATCTATTTAATTTATTTTAACATATTTGTTTTATTCAATTATCAATAGATAAATAAATTTAGTTAAAATATTTATTTATTTCACGTTTAACTGATTGGTTAATTTAATTGAATACAGCTTGTGTAGTTCTTCATTTTTCTGGAATAAGACGATGAATTATGATACTCGTGAAATTTAAAAAAATTATAAGAAACGTAAATGTACTTGAAAATAGTTGAAGCATAATTTGTTTTTTTTTTTTTCAAGACTGTTTATGTGGAACTACACAAATGGATTGAATTGAATAAAATTAATGAATGTATTAAAATAAAATGAAATAACAAAATGAATAAATAAATAAAATTAATTAATTGATAATTGAAGAAAACAAATATATAAAAAAAAATGAATAGATTAAATAAATAAATAAATAAGTACTTTTGTATTAATATAGATTTCGTCACTAGTTATTTGTTTGAAGTATCTTTAGTATATTCTTTCAAAATATGGTTGTATTAATTGTTTGGAAAGAAATAACACTTGCAGTGTGGATACAGTCATGCTGCCACAGAATGGTGTGTTCCCCGTACGGCTACTCGCCCAACATAACAAGCAATTATCACACTCAATTAAGGGGACCTCTAAGGGGTACAGGTAGATTTACATGTGTTTTCCTAGATAAGCAATATTTAATAAATCAGATAAATTCGTTAAATTTAATTTCAATTAAATAAATGAATAAAATAAATACATTATTTTAAAAGAAAAAATTAGAAGGCACTGACAAAATTTACTTACTTGTTATCAATATTTTCAAGTTGTTAAATAGTAATGATTTGGTATTTTCAATATTATTTTTCATGATAGATTTTTTTGCTTCAATTCTCTTAAGTTCAGGTGCAAACAATTTTAATGGAAATGTGTACAATGTTATAATAATTACAAATATGTAGAATCAAATCAAGTCAAAAATAGTTTATGATAATAGGTTACTGATTTCTATTTAATTTGAAAATGGTGTTAGACAAGATAAAATTTTGTCATCTTTTTTTTTTTTTATTTTTCAATTTATTTTAATGACTTACAGAAGTTTTTTCAACACAATATGCCAATTGGTTTCCCATCTATATCTGATATGTTCGAGCAAAATTTGAATGTGTATTTTAAATTACATGTATTTGCACTCTTATATGCCGATGACTGTTGATGACACTATTGATAACTGAATGTACTCAAAATTTACAAGCCAAAATTATTTGCTTTGAAAGATATCGTAGAAAATGAAACTAGATTATGTAAGAAACGTCATTTAAATGAATTAGGCGATGGATTCCATTACATATTTAACTGATAGACGAAAGGGAAAAATGTTTATCACCAAAGCAATTACGGTTTAAAATATTATTTCATTCAGAGAAATAATGAATTAAGAAAACAACTCTTTGTAAGAAAACTATGTACATTTATTAGATATATAACTAAAACGTGCTCCCCGATCTAGTGAATACATATATATCTTTACATGTAGCTTTGTCATTTGTGTATCCTTATGCTTTAGCATGATAACATTTCTTCTTCAGTGCGTCACCAATGTATATATATATATAAATATATCTGGGTAGAATTATGAAGAAATATAGAATTGTGAAGAAATTAATAAATTCAGTATAATTCATTATTCATACAGGTAAGTCTACCTGTTTCCTTTAGAGGGTCCCTTAATTGGATGTGTTAATTAGATGTTGGTTTTGGCGAGTAGCTGTCCCGGGAATAAGCCCACAGAATAAACAGTGGTCAGTAAAAAGGACAATAGGTATCTGGTTCGTGTATCCGAAGTCGCTGGTCAACTATCAACAGCTCGAAATAACTTTCACAACCGTGACAGTATTTGAGGAACATTTCTTTTTTTGTACCAAAGTAAAAGTAGCAATAAAACAAATTCCGGTGTGTAATAAGAGGATGATTTTGATTCCCATCATGAAATTAAAAGAATTAAAAGAAATGTAAAATATGCTTAAAAACTTGTTTGAAGTATAGTTTGTTTACCTTACGACTGTTTAAGCGTCGCCCGCGTGGAGCTAGGTTAGAACGTTCGCTCTAGAGTCGCGGAGTAAGAAGTTGATCCTTACGTCGCGGGTTCGAATCCCACTGTGGGACGTGGAGACCGGTCCTTTGGATAAGACCGTATAAACTGAGGTCCCGTGTCGCAGTAGATGCTGGCACGAAAAAAATCCCTCACTGCTCAATGGCTCTGAGTATAGGTCAAAATTTGCAGCTCTCCACCGGCAAGTGGTGGCGTCTCCATATGAGTGGAAAATTCTCGGGAGGGACGTTAAACAATAAAAAAAAAAACAAAAAACAATCAAACGACTGTTTAAGCAGAACTACACAAATAAATTAAATGAAATAAAATTAATATATAAATTAAAATAAAATGAATTAACAAAATAAATAAATCTATAACATTAATTAATTAATTATTCAATAATTAAATAAAGCAGATATTTTTAAAAATGTATATGAATAGATTAAATGAATGAATAAATAAATGAATATATAGATAAATGTAAATAAATAAATGAATAAATAAATACATGTGCACATATAGATTAACAAATAAATTAGTAAAAATATATTCACATGCCTTTCATGCTACACAAGACGCAATAAATTGGTAATTTATTCTTTTCAATGTAACTGACATTTATTCTCCTTTAGATTTATCCAAAAAGCTACATGTACTAAGCTAAAACAATCAAATACAATCATATTAAAAAAAATTTCTAGAGATATTCAAACAAATAACTATTGACTAAATCTATATTTTCACAAAACTTGATTATTGTCAAGAGTAACATATTTCTCACAAGTTAATAGCAACAATAACATATTTTAATCAAAATGAATGTCAACACGACAGGGAGTGGACAGGGTGGTCAGGAACTTAGTCAGAGGACAGCATGGAGTTGACAGGGACGTCAGAGAATGACAGGGGACATCAGCGGTTAGACAATGGTAACAGGGGCAAAGTCAGGGGACGTCAGGGATTAAACAGGGTATTGAGGGGGCAACGACAGGAGATTATAGGAGAAAGTCAGGAGAGACGAGAAAATGTCAGAGTATGACAGTGGAACGTCAGGGTTTTTTGGAATCTAAGGGGGAAATCATTACAGTTGTGTTAGTGTAATCAATTCTTAGATTCTATGGTCGTTTTAAGGACCTTGTTTGCAAATACAACCTATCATTGGGTCGTATTTTGACTGACATATTTCATACTCATTTGTAGATCATTGTATTATGATTTAATTCTGGATGTAACATTGCATTTGATCAGATGAAAAAAATCATTTATATCGAATGCTCTGTGTTACCCACGTCAAAAGCATAACAATCCGCTTGACGTTACACTTAACATTTGTACAATTCGAAGACATTTTGGGAAAATTGTCTTATTTTTTGAACTTCATGATAGAAAATGAAATTATAAGGTACAAATTTAATAGCTTTCCAAGTTATACCTGTATAACTTTGATTAAAACTCTATACTTTCCCAACCCAGGCCTTACAGTATAATTTGGGTAGCTAATAAATTCATGTCTTAATACAAGTAAATTTGACCACGGATTATTCTGTTTATCTGTTATTTTGGGCCAATGGCGGGTGTGATCGTTTGCTAGGGGATACTTACATCTCCTGGGACTTGATCCTAACTCTGTAATTTCTTGTGGCCGTGCTCTTTCTGCCCTGTTCGCAGATTTTTTTTTTAAAAAATTGTTTGTGTTTTATCAGATCGATGTTAGTTCGTTATCTGCACCTTTTTCATGTAAAAAACGAAAAGTTCCTAGTCAATTCGGCCATAAACTCCCGAGATTCGATAATATGGCATTAATATATATATATATATATATATATATATATATATATATATATATATATATATATATATATATATATATATATATATATATATATATATATAAACAATGCGTTTCCCATGAGACGCACTGCACTAAAGTGCAATGGTCCGATACGTCAAAGTCCGGTGATGTGGAGAAATAATAATTATTTATGACATGTATTCCTACGTCAATCCTTGACGCCGTTGTCCTGCATTCAAAAACCACCAAATCAGTATTCGTCCTCGCATACAATTTTACTGCGTTTAAATTGCTTGCACCCACCAGAGATATTAGGATTAGTCCTCGCATACCACTCGAATGATCACTTGCACACTGTTGGACTTATGGAATAGCTTTGCACCAACCCGAGAGATTTAGGGTTAGTCCTAGCACACTATTCGTTTGATTATACATGTAAGGGTTATATATCTAGGTTATAGTTCTTACACACTTTTCGACCGATTACGTAAATCTCGTATCTATCCTAGAAATAAGGGTTAGTCCTCGCATATAATATTTATATGTATAAAATTCAAAAGATGATGTCACACAGTAAAAATAATCATAAAAGAAAAGGAAAATGCACGGTTTCCAAATAACATTCAACACAAGCGCTTTCTGGATTTCATTTTCCATCTTCAGGTGTATATAACTTTTGAATTGTTTCCTTTTGCTGGGTAACATTGTAATCCAGAAGGCGCTTGTGCCGAATGAATAAATATATATAAGACCTAATATAGATTATTATCTACTGTATATACCTTTTTAAATTCCTCTTTCAGGGGCATTTCCTGTGGTTGGATCTACTGAATGGAAAGAATCATGTCAAGTTGGATTTTCTTCAAATTGTCAACAAAGTCACTCTATAAACATTAAGAACTGTGGAAATTTCAACGTATATTATCTTAAGCCTTTACCATCATGTAACATGGCCTACTGCTTTGGTAAATGATAGATTTGAGTGAATTAAAGAAATGTTTAACAAATATAGGATTAATGAGGTAGTTGTAAAGCGGAGAAAACAGTCTATTCCAAATATCTTTTATTTCTATCTGCTGCATTTTTCTGAGCATTGGAATAGGGAAATTATCAGAAAACAAATCCATTAGACTCTTATTTTCATTAAATTAAATATATCAATGCCGATGATTTTACGAGATAAAATATAAAAAGAGCTCATATAAGAATGCCTTAAAGCTCTACAACTAAAATATTTGCCTTTTTTTTCAGAGAAAAAACAAAACTGTGAATATAATGTTGTAAGAAATTTTATAATTTAAAACACATTTAGAACCTGGACTGTAAAGTTTAAAAAAACCCAATGTAATAGAACAATATAACACAGTTTGAAACGTTTATTTTTAATACAATGTGTTTATATCTATGCATTTAGAGGATGTGTAAAATGATACCCCTGTTGCATTTTTGTTTACACAATGCTAGTCATGAGGATGTAATTTGATTTATTTTTAAGAAGAATGTTTACATGTTTTGTTTATAACAAATAAACCTCCTTCCTTAATATCTTCAACAGAATATAAATATACAAGTCTCTGAGTAATGTTCACCTTGTAGGCATTGAAGAGACTCCAACAAGTTCTAACGTATCTTTTTACAACGTGGTATATTCTGAAAAAGAATTTGGAAATTTTGTACAATATGACCCAATTGTAAACGTAATATGCACATTTGAGCCACTGAAAGACCAGGACGTGTTTTACTATATAGACTGGTATGCAGATTCAAAAATTATTTTGTCTGGACAAACTGTCGATTCTTCATCACTAAACGAGGCAGTGCTCTCAACTGCACGTCTCAGAGATCAAGGTGTTAAAATAGGGTGTCACGTAAGAGTTTAATTTCAATCAATTATTATATGATCAAAATCTGATTTGTTATTTTTACATGCCACATTTGGATTGTATTTGTTTCTAACTTGTTCCTAATTTTGTTTGTTTTAATGTAAAGTATTATATTTTCAGATACAGTGTGTAATTGGAGCCATACCATATGTAACAGACGTGCCATGTAACACGACTGCTAGTCCTCTATTCTTTGCTGGTATAGAGGTAATCGTTTAATTAAATCAGACTATCTGATATAAAATCAAATACTCTTGATTCAAATTACGATAAAAAAAGATGTGATTAGTTTTCTTGAAACGAAGTGAAGTTAATTTTCTTCTAGGTATTAACGCCTACCTTATCAATAGAAAGGAAAGGAAGCGGAACAGTTAAAATACGACCAACAATTCCATTTGCAACAGAGACGCTCTATGATAAAAATAATGATGAATATCATGCCTCAACGCAAGATATATCGGTGTCTTTTCCAAGTGAAATATCAGCAAAGTGCCAAACAGCTGGTAGCTCAAATCGCTGCAAAATTACCCTAGAAAAAATAACATATGATAAAAGACATATATTTGCTGACAAATCTTGGTATAAAACATACGAATTGACAATTCAGAACACAGATAATATAGGTTTCAACAACGATGTCAGACGAATTGTTTTGAGGATGAAAACTGGAGGGGGTGGAGCTAATGCTGCAGAAATTTTCAATGATGTGACACTGCCTGATATTCATGTGAGTAAAAGGTCACACTTGGCGTTTTTATGTATAGTCAGCGATTAAAATTTCACAGTTTGGTGTCTTTTCAGTAAAGTATTAATTTTACTTCAAATTTCTCGATAGAGAATATGGTGACAAGTCATACACATGTAATACAAGGAGTAATTTACTTACTCAAACACATCGACATTTTTTTTCGCAATATCGTATACAAAATCAGTCAGTGTATGTAGGATCTCTCATTGTTTTTGGATGTGTGCTTTTTATCCAACAAACCGTTTTTCCTGTATACCTTAACTTTTAATGATGGAGGAAAAATATGAAATGTGTTAAAAATATGAAATGTGCTGAAACAAATCAAACAAAAAATGTTTTAAAAAATCAATCACATTTTAGAAACTTTTTTTTAAATAATTACGTCGAATTTTAAATGCTGCATGATGTTTAAAAATCAACCCTTTATTGAAATAAAAGAGGGATTTGATACCATCAATTAAAATAATTAGAATTTTAACCCTGTCTTCAATGTTTTGAAAATGTTTGCATGTATTCATTTAAATTTAAAAACGCAGATCGTTAGAGTACAAAGTGTTTGATGTAATTTTTTTCCACCTGAGTGATATCAAGTTGAGAAAGGGTATGCTATGTTATATCTGATTAAATTGAATACTTTGTGAGGAATACAAGTATTCAAAATGACTTGCATGGGACATCTTGAGGAACAATGCATTTATTGAATAGGTGAAGTGAAATAGATATGGAGAGATAACGAACGGTATTCAAGCTCAAAAGTCCATTAAACATTACAAAATAGGAGCAGAGTAAACACGGCCCTCCAAAACATCAGAGGTGGTAAGGAAGGGAAGTTGACGATTGAAAGGTTAAAGTCATCATGTTTATCATAAAGCTTGGTTGTTAGATTACCATTAACGTCTTTTTCAAATAAAATATTCAAATATGAAACAGATGTGTCAGACTCTGTGGTATCTTTTATCTCAAGCTCACCGGAATATATCGTATCGACATAAAAATGGAAATAACCATTGTTAATTGACAATACGTCGTCGATATATCTAAATGTCGAGTTGAAGGCCACAGCAAGTGTTTTCTTCTTTTCACGTAAATTTTTTTTAGGTCAAATTCTGCTTCATATGAATACAAAAAAGGGTCTGCTAATAACGGGGCGCAATTGGTACTCATGGGAATTGCAATAGATTGTGTACAATCAGAATGTTTTTTAACAAAATAATTTTACAAATAACCAATGACAAGGTAATAAGTAAACATTATGAGTTCTATTTTTATTGAAAAAGAGGCTGTCAATGATATCAAAAAGCCTGGACTTTAATTTATCGTAGGGAATGGTTGTGTATAAAGTTGAAAAGTCATAAGTTTTTAAGTTGTTGATTTTGGTAAAATCTTGTGATTTCAAGAGCTATCGATCGAGCATAAAATGAACATGTCTTCTATTTTAATGGTTTGTGTAATTCTCTTTCAATTTATTGCATCAAATTCATTTCGCCCTATAGATAAATGTAGTTGAAAGTGTAACAGAGTGGAAAGGCAAGCAGTGTCATTCTCATGCTGATCCTCATATGCGTACTTTTGATGGATAGTAAGTAGAAAATACAATATTATAATTTCCTAAATACAAGATAATAGAATTATAAAGTATTGCATAATTGTTTCGCCTGCAGAGTAGGGCGACACTTAGAGATCATTTACCCGGCGTCTTCTAGCTCTCTGTCTATCTGTCCGTCTTTCTGTCAGTCAAACTTTATATTTCAAGATCTGTAAGAAGTGTGGATTTAATACTTTGTTCATATGGCATATTGGTAATATCAATGGCTTTAGTAAAATACTATGGTGACTAACCTCGTGACCCTTAAACTTCACCTTTGACCTACTTTAAAAATAGTTCATAGTGCCGATATATAGCATGTTTTTGACATTTAAGAAGGAAGTAAGTCTATGCTATTTAGCATGTGCATTGTTTGTCATAAAACATATTGAAAAATACTAGTTTTACTGTCCATTTGACCTTTACCTTTGACCTGTGCAAAATATACTCCAGATATTTTAATTTAACTAATAATATGAATTTTGATAATAAGTATTCATACATGATTATGAGCTCATGGAAAATTACTTTGAAACTGTATCATATACAGTAACCACAAAAACTGAATTTGTTATACTACGAAAATAATCGGGATTGGTATTCAGAATTGATGGTGTAGACTTAAAATTGCAGAAAAGACAGACTGACATTGAAGGATTGTTGAAAACACGTATTAATAAAATGAAAAATATTTATTTTGTCAATATTTTTAAATTTCATTATCTATTTTAGCTTTGAGTTTTGGGGATCATATTTCTAATTGATTGTCAGATTCTATCGCTGTCTTACTATGCATGGACGTTTTTTTAAAGAAGAAAATATATAACTTACATGTACCACCCTTAGATTTATTTTCATCCTTAATGAAGTTAAAAGCAAGCGACACATGTGTTCCTTGTAACACTCTAATTTATATTTAACATTATGCTACTTAAGGTTGTATGAGTGTGAGCATTTTTGAACACAAAGTGGAATGAAAGTTGCATTCAATGTAACGTCAGTTGAAGTGTGTAAAACATTAAAATATTAATTATGCTGTGCATTTAGCTTTCCTGTATAAAATATTTCGATAAAAAATAAGAAATAAAATATCTGCATTGTCATCGAGTACGTCTTTTTTTTATTACGACAACTGACCCGTTTCCGATCTCCATAGTAACTACAACGCGCGATTTCCCGAACTGACAGACGAGAGAAAATGGGACATGCAAAGGGTGCCTTTGCCACCTGCAAACGGAAATTTTTGTACAAAAACCAGTCAGAAGCCCAGAGGCAGAGATGAATGTGGTGTCATAGCGACCATATGTGCTCAAAAACCGGTAAGAAAAGCGGCAAATCATAATGTAGACCTAGTCCATCAAACGACGGTTACGAAGGCTAAAAATTGCATATCCCTAATCGATCTCAGACCATGTGTAAATGTTACTAGCCATAATAAGAATGTTGTTGGAATTCATATATTAAAAAGAAATCAGCCGTATCAAGATATTTTGAGCGATTAAGTGATTCGTGTTGGTTTGTTGATAGCATTTTTCTTCAAGAGGTCCTTTCTTTTGATTAGAGTTATTCTCCGTTGTGAAATAGAAAGTATGTAAATAAAAATGCTCGGAGATTGCAAGGAAAGTAATCTGTAAAGTTCGGAGATATTTTTATTGAATTAATCAATATTTGTGCAAGTTGATAAAGTATTAAACGCCAAGTCATATCATCAGCAACGAAGATTCTTCGTTGAGCTATCTGCCCTCCCCCCCCCCCCAATGTGGGTAGCACTAGCGGTCAACTCATACACTTGTAAGTTTACACCCAGATATGAATGAAATATATGGAGATAACGAACGGTATTCAAGCTCAAAAATCCGTTAAACAATACAAAATAGGAGCAGAGCAAACATGGACCTCCAAACATCAGAGGTGGGATCAGATGCCATGGAGGAGTGAACATCCCCTGCCGACAGGTCCCACCCGCCGTGTGCTCCTTGTCATGATCGGGAAATAACGAAAAGATCCGTCGACAATTCAGTGTGTAAATAATGGCCTAACAATTAGTATGAAAAACGTCAGTCAGCATTTGACTCAATGATAAATTGTATTTGCTGACAAGGTCATTGTATCGACCATAGAACTTACGAAATGATGACTTTAAACGAGACAGCTGATATTCTTGTTTATCAACTAGTTTGTCAATAATTTACCTCTTTTTAGAAATTGTACATACGTAGAGCATGCTCTTGTGTATCGAATCAATTGAGAGATGTATACCCGGTATGCAGGTGATGAAGGTATATTAATGCATAAGTAAGGGAAGTTGACAATTGAAAAGTTAAAGTCATCACGTTTATCATAAAGCTTGGTTGCTAAATTACCATTAACGTCTTTTTCAAGTAAAATATCCATATATAAAACAGATGTGTCAGACTCTGTGGTATCTTTTATATCAAGCTCACCGGGATATATCGTATTGACATAAGAAAGGAAATAGCCATTGTTAATTGACAATACGTCGTCGATATATCTAAATGTCGAGTTGAAGGCCACAGCAAGTGTTTTCTTCTTTTCACGTTCAAGATTTTGGACAAATTCTGCTTCATATGAATACAAAAAAAAGGTCTGCTAATAACGGGGCGCAATTGGTACTCATGGGAATTGCAATAGATTGTTGGAAGACCTGGTCTCCAAAAACCACATAGATATTGTCTATCAGAAACTCAAGCATCTTTTTAATGTCAACTTCAGAGTACTTGTGTGTGCAATCAGAATGCTTTTTAACAAAATAATTTTACAAATGACCAATGACAAGGTAAGTAAACTTACGAGTTCCATTTTTATTGAAAAAGCAGCTGTCAATGGTATCAAAAAGCCTGGACTTTATCGTGGTGAATGGTTGTGTATAAAGTTGAAAAGTTGTTTTTAACCTGTTGATTTTGGTAAAATCTTGTGATTTCAAATTTTCCAAAAGTTCCTTGGAATTTGTAAGTATCCACGTCTGATTTACACCACTTCTCGAATATATTGTTGCACAGTACTCTTGAAGTTTCTCCTTCACCACTGTTAATATCTTAGTGAGGAGTAAAGAAAGAGGCTTGGTTGAACATTTACTGGAACAGGCTATGTATCTTTGTTTGTAAGGATTTTTATGAAGTTTCGGAATCCAATATAGATATGGTAATTCAAATTCATTTTGGTTGTTTGGAATATTAAAAATATCCAAAACTGATATATGATTTTGAAGAATTTCTTCCTTAGAAAGGGAACTATGAGTATAAGTTGAATTACCACTTGTAGAATTAAATCCAAGTTCCTCTAAAATACATTTAATACAATGAACCTTACAAACAATGTTGTTACCAGCTTTGTCAGCAGGGATCAGTACGTACTGATCATGTAATCTATCTAATTCTTTTTTTGACTTCTGGATTATTGAATACAGAAGGATAGATGGTTCTCATATTGCCCCTCAATCTTTTAATGCGCGATTTTAACATACATCTGATACATTTAATCCATTCTGACAAAGTGTCAAGGTCTTCTTTTTCATGTCTGGCCCATCGCTTGGCGTAGTCCTCTACAGAATCCATAATATTTATGAAATTCCAGTTGAAGGATCTGGGTTCCCTAAATTTAGGACCTTTTAAAATTAGTGATCTAAGGTCCTCATTATTAAATATATTTACGTCACCAGTAATAAAGTGTCCAGCAGTGCAGTGCAAAATTGGTAGACAAGTGAAATGTTAAACTTTAATTGACCATCAAAGTTAAACTTGCATTGGAAAAGGATTTTAATACTGTAATTTTATTTCAGATTAATTCCTTT